TACAGAGAGAGAGTTGGACCATAAAGAATGCTGAGTGCCGAAGAATGGATGCTTTCAAACTGTGGTGCTAGAGAAGACTCTTGAGTCCCTTGGACTGCAAGGAGAGCAAATCAGTCAATCCTAAAGGAAATCAACCCTGAATATTCATTGGAAGGACTGATGGTGACGCTCCAATACTTTGGCCCCCTGATGCAAAGAGCTGACTCGTTGGAAACGAGCCTGATGCTGGGAGAGATTGGAGGCAAAAGGAGCAGGGGGCAGCAGAGGATAAAATGGTTAGATAGCATAATCAGCTCAGTGGACATGAGTTTGAGTAAACTCCAGGAGATAGTGGAGGACAAAGGAACCTGGTGTGCTGCAGTCCATGGGGTCGCAAAGAGTCAGACACAACTTAGCAACTGAAAAACAACCCACTTTATTCCAGTACTGTATGGTGCTAACCACTCCAGAATGATCTAAACTAGACACAAAAGTTTATGTATGATTCCATTTATATGAAATAAACGTCCAGAATGGGCAAACTGATATTGATGAAAAGTCAATGGTTGCAAGGAGTCGGGGAGGGAAAAATGAGGAGTGATTGCTAGTGGAAATGGGGTTTCTTTTAGGGTAACGAAAATCTGAAATTAGATAGTAGTGATGGTTGCAAAACTTCATGAATATATGAAAACCTACTGAAGTATACCTTAAAACAAAACAACTAAAAAGTAAAGAACGAACTCGGCAGATACAACTTTGCCCTCATGTTATCTCACAGTAGGGTGGGGTGGATGCATAAATGCAAAATGATACAGTATATATTACAATGTGCACATAACTGGACTTGTTGGTGAACCAGGGAATAATTCCTTGAGAAACTGATACAAACCCCGTCTAGAAGGTGAGTGGGAATTGGAAAGGAAGGAGGATGTTTCAGGCAGAGGGAACATTACAGAAACCTGAAAGCTGAGAGAATATAGGTTAATTAAAGAAGATAAAGTTCATGGGGTTGCAAGGAGTCAGACACAACCGAGCAATTAACACTTGTTTTGGGCTTCCCTGATGGCTCAGTGGTAAAGAATCTGCCTGCAATGCTGAAGACCCGGGTTCAATCCTGAACTGAGCAACTAACACTTTCAAGTAGACAAGGGACTTCCCTGTTTGGGAAGAATCCACCTGCCAATGCAGGGGACATGGGTTTGATCTTTGGTCCCGGAAGATGCCACATGCCGCAGAGCAACCAAGTCCGTGTGCCATAACTACTGAGCCCATGTTTACAGCCTGTCAGCTGCAATTGCTGATGCCAGCACACCTCGAGCCCATGCTTTGCAACAAGAGAAGCTACCACAGTGAGAAGCCCACACACTGCACCTAGAGAGTAGCCCGCTCAGGCAGCAGCGAAGATCCAGAGCAGCCAAAAATAAATTAATTAATTAAAAAATTTAAAAGTAGATAAGAATAGCTGATGCATAAAAGTATAAGGGAAAATGGTTAGAGATGTGGCTAAGGAGGATTGAGCCTGATCTTGAGAAGTTTGGATTTCATCCTGAGGGCACTGGGGGCCCACTGAAGCATTTTAGTCCAGGAAATTACAGATTCCCATAGGTAATCTAAGAAGAATACTCTGGCTGCAATACCAAGAACAGACTGGAGATGGGGAAGGCCAATGACAGACTGGTGGTTGAAGAAATCCAGGCGAAAGATGAAGCTGATCTCATCTAAAGCAGAGATGACAACCATGTGCATAAAGTGAGGAGTGGACGCTTGAGAAATATTAGGAGACTGGATGGAGGAATGAGGGAGGGAACAGAGTTGAGTCATAGTTTTTAGGCTTGAGCAATCTAGGTATTTGATGCTGTCATTCACTCAGCTAAGGTACAGAAATAGGTTTAGGGCAAAAGGATTCACATTTGGATATATTGGGAAAATCCAACTGAAACTGGTTCATAGTCAAAGGTACAGATCTGCAACTCCCCAGCAAAACCTAGGTTGGGGTAAACATAGAAGAGTTGTTAGAATAGAAATAGTAATTGAAAGAGTGAAAATGTATTTTTTCACCCAGGGGGTGTGTTTTAAAATTTTAAAAAGAAAAAAGCTCCTGGGACAGAACCCTGAAGAGCACCAAAAGCTTAAAAAGGGGCAGGGGAAAAAGCCTGAAGATGACAGTGAGAAGGAACAACTGGGAAGCTGAAGAAAACAAGGAGTTCAGATACTAGTATAAGATTTTTTAAATTAAACATGCACATAATGAAATGTGTGTCAGACAGTGTTTTGATGCCTTACCAATAATGGCTTATTTAGTCCTCACAACAAGCCTGGGATGTAGATCCTATTACTGACTGTATTTTACAGATGGGGAAACTGAGGCAAACATGTGCATGAAACAATATGGCAATTGGATTGCAGACTGGGATTCAATCCTAGGCAGTTTGGCTTCGCAAAAGTTCACATGCTTAACCACTATGCTGTGTTTCCTCTCCAGATAAGTACATGTCCTGATAAACACTCTAAGAGCCCTGAAAAGCTGGATTTACTGTCTTCATTTTACAAAAAGGATACTGAGGCCCAGCAAGACTAAGTAATTTGACCAAAACATAGAGTTGCTAGGTAGTTGAGCAGAATTTGAACCCAGGTTCCTTAACTCCAAAGACTTTCTCCCAGACTGCATTAGCAGTGCAGTTAATTTTCTCTGTATACATACATGTGTGTATGGAAATTTTAACTTCACTAATTTTATAAATGTTAATTCCCCAGATATGTACCAAATACTTAATAGTGATTAGTTTTGAATCCCTTCTCAAAAGCAAGTATCCTGGAGGGTTGAGCTTTCAGCGATAATATAAATTAAACCCAGGTTATTCATATATTCCAAATGCATGGATGTAGTAAAATGCATTGTGTTCTAATAGCCTGATACTATTTTCAGGGCTTGATTTTCTAGAAATGCCATCAGAATACCTTGTGATCATAGAGAAATTATTTAAAAACCCACCAATATGAAAAGCCACCCACTTGAAATCATTATTCCCTATTATTTATTGTCTCTAATAACTGTTCCAATAGGTGGTAGTTTATCTTGGTTTACTGGGTCAGAAGTGGAGTGTAAACTCTTATAGTTACTTATTTTTCCCATTTTATTTCTTGAAGTTGTAAAGGAGACAGTGATCATGTTGAGTCACTTTTGAAGGTTACGCTCAAAAATGAAGGTTATAATCTGAAGTCAACAAAAGACACCTTGGAATCTTTAAGGACCAAAGGACTATCAGGTGGTTGTCAGTCTCATTTAAATCTTGTAAAAGAGTGTCGCCTAGTGCTGCTCTGAAGAAGTAAATTGAGAGAAATTATTACCTGTTTATAATCTCTATCACCACCTTGTGGCAGTGTTCTTAAATAATTCTGCCCTCTTTTATTTGCAAAATCTTCCAGAATCTTGCATTAATTTATACACAAAATCAAGTCACAGGCTATCCTAGGTGATCCAGAATTTCTTTAAGTGGATTATTTTACTAATATTTTGGTCAGAACTCCATAAAATCTTGAAACAATATAAATTAAGTCCTTTAAAAAGAAAAAAGGAAATTTACTTCTTTTTTGTTAGTGAAGTGAGATAGTGAAAACTGTATGTATTTTTAAACATTAATGCTTGTTTATTGTGGTAAAATGTACATAAAATTCATCATCCGAACCATCTTTGAGTAGGTAACTGAGTGGCAGTAAGTGCATTCAGTGTTGTACAGCCATTACCACTACCCATTTCTAAAAATTTTACATCAGCCTGAGTGAAACTCTGTACCAATTGAATACCCCATTCCTTCCACCCCCCAGCCCCTAGTGACCTCTGTTCTATTCTCTGTCACTATGAATCTGACTACTTTAGCTATATCTATTCATATAAGTGGAATCATGTGATAGGCATCCTTTTGTGTCTGGTTTATTTCATTTAGCATAATGTTTTCTCTTTTTTTAGCATAATGTTTTCAAATTTATCCATGTTGCAACATATATCATAATTTCATTACTTTTTAATACTGAATAATATTCCATTGTATTTACCATATTTTAAAAGTCCATTCAACTGTTCTTTGACCTCTGGGTTGTTTCTACCTTTTGGCTGTTATAAATAATACTGCTATGAACATTGGTGTGTGTCTGTTTGAATCCCTCCTTTCAGGACATGTTGGGCTTCCCTGGTGGCTCAGATGGTAAAGAGTCTGCCTGCAGCACAGGAGACGTGGGTTTGATCCCTGGGTGGGGAAGACCCCCTGGAGAAGGACATGGCAACCCACTCCAGTATTCTTGCCTGGGAAATCCAATGGACAGGAGCCTGGTGGGCTGCAGTTCATGGGGTCACAAAGAGTTGGATACAACTGAGCAACTAACACTCTGATACTTCTGAGTTTAGAAGTGGAAGTGCTGGATAGTATGGTAAACCTGTTGAACTTTTTGAGGAACTGCCATACTGTTTTCTCCAGCAGCTGCACCACTTTACATTCCTACCAGCAGTGTACAAGGATTCCAGTGTTGCCACGTCTTCACCTACGCTTGTTACTTTCCATCTTTTTGAATAGCCATCCTAGTGGGTATGAAATTTAAACTTTTGTTTTTGAGTTGACTTTGAAAATAAATTATACATGAAATTAATTCAAGAAATAATTTTTAAACCCCTGTTATATAGAGAGCACTGTTAACACTCTGAGGGAATAACAAGGATGAGTAAAATACATTCTCAAACCTTTAGGGGATTTGTAATTTATTATTCTCCTCCAAATGTATTTGGGAACGAGTAAGTCAACTTATATTTTCCTTGGGTGGTTGGAAAAACTAATCCAGAGATCTTACTCTAATTTATAGAAAATTGGTTGTGGAGATGTTTATTAAACTAATTTTCCAAAGAATACAATCAAATGCTAATTATATAGTTCTTTGGAAGATTTGCAATAAAAGGACTATCTTAGGCAAGGTCTCTAATTTTTTTTTTTACAGGTTAGATTTGTTAAAAGAATCCTGATAACATTACTATCATGGCCACTGTTCAGCTCCCTCGCTCTATCAGAATTCACAGGACATCTAAGGTATTTATTAAGAATTAAAAGAAAATCAATGACTATTTAGTGAGTTAATTCAGAATCATGACTTTAATCTTTGGTGTTTTTTAAAATAGCAGCTTTATCAGTTAATTGGCACATAATATCCTGGCAGAGTATGTCTACATTTTAACTGGGTAATGGATTGAGGATGTTCAGGAAATTAGAATAGATTCCTGTGAAGTAACTTCCTGGGTGCTTGTTTCATGTTTATATATTTAGACTTTCTAGAGTAAAAGAGTTTTGTGAAGTTATGAGTCCGGAGAACTACCAGTTGAGGGAAGAGTTCTAGATGTCAGGCTAGAAGCATCTTCAGATGAAGGTTCATCTCATGAGACATTCAAAAAACGAAGATCATGGCATCTGGTCCCATCATGGCAAATAGATGGGGAAACTGGAAACCATGACAGACTTTATTTTCTCAGGCACCAAAATCACTGCAGATGGTGGCTGCAGCCACAAAATTAAAGGACGCTTGCTCCTTGGAAGAAAAGCCATGATAAACCTAGACAGAGTATTAATAAGCAGAGACATTACTTTGCCAACAGAGGTCCGTATAGTCAAAGCTACCATTTTTCCAGTAGTCATGTATAGATGTGACAATTGGACCATAAAGAAGGCTGAGTGCCAAAGAATTGGTGCTTTTGAGCTGTGGTGTTGGAGAAGACTCCTGAGAGTCCCTTGGATTTCAAGGAGATCAAACCAGTCAATCCTAAAGGAAATCAATCCTGAATATTCATTAAAAGGACTGATGCCTAAGCTGAAGCTCCAGTGCTTTGGCCACCTGATGTGAAGATCTGACTCATTGGAAAGGACCCTGATGCTGGGAAAGATTGAAGGCAGGAGGAGAAAGGAAAGACAGAGGACAAGATGGTTGGATGGCATCACTGACTCAGTGGACATGAGTTTGAGCAAGCTCCAGGAGATTGTGAAGGACAGGGAAGCCTGGCGTGCTGCAGTCCACGGGGATGCAAAGAGTCAGACATTGAGTGACTGAACAACAACGAGAGTAAGAGAAATCAGAAACAAAAAAAAGATATTTAAAGAGAAAGGTTCCTTGTTAGACATTCACTTCCTGACACAGTAAACTTCTGATAACACACTGTGATGCAGTTATAAGAGCTGAAGGAGAGGACACTGACAGAAACTAGGATCCTGGGGGAGCATGCCGGGGCCAGGTGACCTTGCTGGGTTCACCTGGGCAAGTTTATCTTGTCCCATGACAGTCATTAATGAATCATTCATTTATTCATTGAAAGCTCAGTATTACATAACATATATGTAACACTGTGTTCTTTTCTGAGAGATTAAGAAAAAGAATCTTCATGTTCCAGAAGTTTATAATCTGGTTGGGGAAATGACTTACAGGAAGTAAGTCAATATACAGTGCAGTATATGCATTAAATATTTGTGACAAGAGTAAAGCAACACAGATGTATAGAACAGACTTGGACTCTGTGGGAGAAGGCGAGGGTGGGATGGTCTAAGAGAATAGTATTGAAACATGTATGTTATCAAGTGTGAAACAGATTGCCAGTCCAGGTTGGATCATGAGACGGGTGCTCAGGGCTGGTGCGCTGGGATGACCCAGAGGGATGGGATGGGGAGGGAGGTGGGAGGGGGGTTCAGGATGGGGAACACATGTGAATCCATGGCTGATTGATGTCAATGTATGGCAAAAACCACTACAATATTGTAATTAGCCTCCAACTAATAAAGGGAAAAAAAAATTAAAAATTTTTAAAAAAGAGTAAAGCAATACAAATGATAGAAATTTAGAGATTTTTGTATAGATTGGAACGGTTTGTATATTCCTTAGGAAGGAGACAAGATTTAAGGTGGGCCTTAAATAATGAAAAGGATTAGGATGGAGGAGAGAGAGGAGAATTCCATGAGGAGAAACTAGCATATGCCTTGGCTCAAATAAGTAATGAGCATGGCATGTTTCAGAGAGTAACAAAGAACCCGTCCTTACTGGAGTGGAGCTTCATCATGTTGGACAGAAGTAGGAAAACTAATTGAATAGGAACTTTGGGGACAAATTAGTGTGGATCTTAAAAGCCAGGCTAAAGAACTTATGCTTTATTCTGCAATCAACGGAAAGTCAGCAGTTTTACCAGGACAGTTGAATAAATTACTGTTTTAAGAATATTAAGCTGTAGCAGAGGTAGGAAGGATTGAAGTTGAAGGAGAATTGGAGCAGAGAGAAAGCCGTCATCTTTCTGGCTTGAATTCAATATATTCAACAAGGAGACTCCTGATCTCATCGGATTTCCTAAGTGTGCTTCCTTCCTGGGGTGGAAATTGCTTAGCTGGGTAGATGAATTGCAATCAGTTTGGCAGTTATTTTTCGCGCTGTCAATTAACAAATTGACCTTTTGATACAAACAGATCTTTGCAGTTTGGACTGCATGAACTACTTTCTCCCAGAAAATTTAAAGTGACTGTATGATTTTGCTATTTTTTTTTTTTTTTTTTTTACTGAAAACAACAATAATTATGTGCTGGGCACTGTCCAAGGGATTGGTATTATTATTTCAATTAAGCCTTGAAATAAGGAGAAAACCGAAGCTCAGAGAAGTACTATAACTTGCCATAGGGCTCCCCCGGTGGCTCAGATGGTAAAGAATCTGCCTGCAATGTGGGAGACCCGGGTTCAACCCGTGGGTCGGGTAGATCCCCTGGAGAAGGAAATGGCAACCCACTCCAGTACTCTTGCCTGGAGAATCCCATGGACAGAGGAAACTGGTGGGCCACAGTTTACGTGGTTGCAAAGAGTCAGACACGACTGAGCGACTCACACACACATAGCTTGACAGTTGAGCTGTCAAACATTACTTAAGTCATTAGCACACTTTCTTATTAAAATAACTTATAACAGTGTTTTCTATTATTAAGCCACAGTATTTTCATGTACTAGACATTTATAAAAATGTGCATGATACCTCTTAAAATATTGGACCAGTTGTGCTGAGAAAAAAATTCCCGGAGTGTAGAAAAATAACAATTCTAGAGGCCTTTTCCAATCATTGATCTTCATTATTACAAATGGCCCTTTTGATTCCATATTTAAAATAAATGTCTCTATATTTTTAGATTGTTTAATTTTACAGATGGTTATTACTTAAGTATTGTCTCTAAGTTTTGGCATCTTTTCAGTAAGTTATTATATATACATGTCATGCCAGCTATTACCCAATTAACCCCAAAAACCTTAATTTCTCAGAATCTATGGATACAAAAAGCAATTTTCTGTAAAATTTTACACACTTATATGCAGACACATGTACATTCCTTACCAAATTCCCTTTAAACTGTAATCTTTCCTACTTCTGCTATAGCTTTATTTTCCTAAAATAATTATTCTACTGACCTGATCAAACCTGCTGCCTTTCCACTGGTTACAGAATAAAAATAAAATGCTTTAGGCTGGCTTTAAGATCGCTTATTAATTTTCCCCCCAAATTCCTCTCATACATGCAAGAGTAATAATTATATCTTTTTAAAAACTGAATATAATGTAGTTTGACCAAAAGGATGAACTGATAATTCATTTTCACTATATAGTGTACCCAAGAAGCAGCTTAAATTGCAAAATCATGTCCAGAAGACATTCTAGAACCAGATCTAGATATAGAAAAGCTTTTGGGGAGTTCTCTTTCATCTAAAGGCATATTCGTGGGTAGTACCTGTCTCCAAGTAACAGAATTATTAAAACTGAACAGTTGAAACAATACCATAGTTTAAAGACCTCTGAATTTGAACAAGGTTGTTGGAGCTTTACCATCCTGACTTCTAATAACATGGATTCATTTCACCTGCTTTTGTACTTTATATAAGAGCAATCATACAGTAGTACTCATTTGTACCAGGTTTCCTGTGCTCAGCTTCACGTGTGAGAGTCACTTATATTGTAGAACTTTTGCTTAAGCAAAGCGCAAAAGGTGAAAATTTGTGGCAGCAGAATAGTTGATGAAGAGTAGTTCCATGTGGCTAAAGAGTAGGGTGCACGGGAGAGGATGGAGGGGAGGGCTGGGAGATGAGGCAAGAAAACTGGGCAAAGATAAGGTTTTGACAGTTCTCAAATGCCACACTTGAACTCTATCCTGTATGGACACTGGGAGTGTCATGATAAGATTTGTGTTCTTTAAAGTTAATGATGACGGCAACATGAAGGACAGATTGAATGAAAAGAACAAATAAATGGCAGGGAGGTCAGAGGCTACTGCAGTAATAAAGGGGAGAAATGAGCATGTCCTGAGCCAAGTCAGCGAGAAGAGAAAGGAGAAAGCGAGTCGCTTCTAGAGAGAATGAAGAGTACTGTGTGATTGGGTATGGAGGATGGAGCGGGGACGAGAAGCCAAAGGTGACTCTACGTCTGGCTTGGATGATTTGACTGAAGTGGACATGGATTCATTTGTTTGAGATTGAAATTTGGGATCAGGTTTCAGTCAGGGTGAGAGAGAGAAACTGAGTTTGAGAGGTCTACAAAGTGGTCTGGGCATAGATGTTCAGAAAATAGACATACGGGAGTCAAGCTCAGAACAGAAATTAGGACGTTTTCTCTGTACTGGCTGCAGGTGAAGCAATGAGACGAAATGATTCAAGAAGAGAGAGCTATGGAAAGAGAGAAGACTGGAGACAGAATTCTGGGGTGGGAGCAACACCCAGAAAAGGCAGACAAATGGAAGAAAAAGAGAGCCTGAAATAGCTATGGAGGGCAGACGGGGAGAGAAAGAAAATAGCGTTACGGAAGCTGAGAAAGACAGTGTGGGCAAAAGTGTCAGACATCGCAGTCGAGTGGCACCATGAGGACCGAGATGAGGCTAATGATAGGATGTACTTGGTGACCGGAGAGAACAGCACAGAGTGGAGGGGGTGAAGGGCAGATTGTAGCGCCTTCTGAGGAGTGTGTGAAAGGGGAGATCACTTCATCACAGTAAAACTCCCAGCTTTGCCTCAAATCCACAGATCATTGTAAAATAAATCATATTCGTCTTGAATTACTTGAATACCTGTCTCTACCATTCTTCTCTGCCTTGCCAGTGAAGATCTCATTTAAAGCAATATTCAAAGCCTTGTTTCCTTTTGATTATCTCAAAAGGTATCAGACGAGGTCTTTCCATTTTGCTTGTGGTAATGATATGATGGGCTGAATATGTTAAAGAATATAATCTTTTACATTTTTTCCTCCCTCCTAGAAAACAGTTTTCCCATCTCAAATCGCTAGTGAGCATGAGTCACTGATAATGGTGAAGAAACTTTTTGCTACTTCTATCTCATGTATAACGTATCTACGGGGCCTGTTTCCAGAGAGCTCTTACGGAGAACGCCATTTGGATGGTAAAGTCTAACTAAATGGTTACTTTGGCTGGTGGAGCCCTTTCCCTCTATTTGGCAGGAGTAAAACTTTATTTCTCATGGAGTGTGCTAATTCCAGGTCATGGGCCTGTTTGTCAGGATCAATTTGCTAATTCATTTTCCATTTTAATTTCACTTTGTGTAGTGGTTTTACTTGTAGGAACTATTAGTTCCTGGCTAGATACCAAATGACAGGCTGAAGAAAAAAGAAATCTGTACGGACAAGCCCAATAATTCTAAACTACACCTACCAAAGCAGCAGCCAGGTTGAGATCTATGTGGGTGCTGTACATTTGCACTATTTTGTGTCTCAACTTTGAGATAGACTTCCACAATGAGGAACTTTAATTGAGAAGTTTTTAAAAATTCTTTCTGTTAACATATAGAAATAAGCTCGAAAAAAATGCATACCCATCCCAAACCCATCTATTGATTAACATGGAGATGTCGATAATTACTATTCCAATCAGTTCTTTTCTCAGTTTTCTCTTTTCTAGTTTTCTTCCTTTTATTCCTTATGTCCTTAAATTTATGATCTCATTTCCTTGGATTACAAGCGGTTTCTGTCTCCTTTCCTTCTCTTGTATTAAGAATAATGTATCTAGCACTCTTCAGTTTTTCAGAAATCTTTTAATTTTTTTAAAAAGCTGGATTGTGATAACCATTCAGAAAATTTTGCTGATTTGTCACCAAAGTAGGAAAGTATCATTTGGAAAATAAATATAGAAGGCTACAAGTTTCCTTGTAAGATGTTATTTTTCAAAATCTATTTTTACTTTGTTTCTCACATCTGTATTTCATGATAACTTAGGCCTCACTCATTCCAATTTACTTTTTCTTAAACACCATTTGCTTCTCTACATGAGCATCAGTGAAACCCATGTGTGCTATAAACACAAAAGCACATTTGCAGCTGTGACACCTCATTTGCGTCATGCTCTTCTGGTCAGGATAGAAATCTATAGTAGTAAAAATGTTTATATGCCACATACAGTTGCTGTTTCTCCTCTTGTTTGGAATATAGAATTGGAGAAAGACACGTTTGGGGTAATTAATTAAGCACTTACTGTGTGCCAGTCACTAACCTATGCATGGAGGGCAATACCATTGTTTACAGCTTTATTTTTTATGATAGTTTTAATGGAAGTTATAAATCTTCCTCTCAGTGTTTGTACTTAAAGTAGCACATGACATAAAAATGCCCAGTAATAATTTTCATGTCCCTCAACAGCAACAGAAGTAACATCAATTTTAGAATAGGAAAACACTATGAAAAGGTGAAGTGATTTATACAAAGTCATAAATGAATCAGTAATCAATTTTAGACTAATCTAAACCAAAACTTTTAATGATTTTCTTATTCTTCCTTCCTATAGTAAGGTGGTTGAATTTCATATGGAAATTAATATCTAAGAATAACCCATGAAAACATATCTTATCCTTTTTTTACCTCCATTGAGAGAGAAATACCAGAGAAGTGATTTGAGATTGAGGTGTATATTTTAAATTGCTTGATATAGCTGGTCTCAGTACTACCTTGTGATAACTTAGAATTCAGCAGAAGCAAAGAAGTGACACAAATTGATTTCACAACCAACTCAGTTGTGTACATTGTAGAAGAGGAGACTGCTAATCTATAATAAAAATGGGAACTAAGCCAATTATCAACATAGGATTTGTTTTAAAATTAGACATTTAGAGATTCAAAATGTTTTTATAAGCTATAAAACTAAGTAAGTTGTATAAATAAAATCATGAAAGGAAATACCCTTATTTAGCATGGACAATTTTAGTACAGCAGACTATGTTTCTATTTTTGTAGACCTCAGTTTAAAAATCCTGCGAGAAGATAAAAAATGTCCTGGGTCACTGCATATTATCAAGTGGTAAGTAACTGAAATTCCACCAAAGTTGAACAACATTTTTATTATGGCTGAAATTACCCATAAGACTTTATTTAGTAAGATCATTTCCTTAAAACTATTGCCTTCTTCCTTTCTTTGTTTTCATGTATTTTTTTTTTTACTACTTCCTAGAAATGTATAACAATTATCCAGTATTATTTTAAGGTACTGATTTAGTTTTTTTTTTTAAGAATACAGACTTTCTTTATACAAGGAAGAAAAATATCAATCAAAATTTGATTACTTATCAAATACATGTCAGTGTGCTAAACATTACAGGATGCAAAAAGAAAAATAAGATGTGGTTCCCTGCCTCTGCTTACCTTTTATTATAAGTCCTGTTAATACATTAAAACATACTAAGAGTTTCTAGAAAATGATTAAATGGGTGAAAGGTGAGATGGTTATCAACTTAAAGTATTTCAAAGCAAAAAAAGTAGTTTTGTACTTGGGATTCTTCCTGGCTTTGAGTCTGATCCAAATTGACATCAAGCATTTATTTCTTGACAGGATTCAAGGTTGTTTTGATGCCTTGGAAAAGAGATACGTAAGAACATCTTTAAATTTATACCAGGATCAAAGACTCGCCCTTTACCCCTTTAAAAGAAAATTTTAGCCTTTATTTTGTTGTTGTGTTTTAACAGTACACCAGTTTCTATGTATGCCTTCATGAACCAGTTTCTTTTTACTTTGTGTCTCTGTTGTCCTGTTGATGTCTCGTTTACATCAGTTAGAATTGACACCCTCAGTTTTCTCTTTCACATACTCATATCTTTTTGACCACAGAATTTCCTCTGAAGTCACTGGAAGAGATCCACAGGATGTGGGACAGGGGAGACAAGAATCTGGCATTTACCACATTGAGCTTTTTCAAAATAGTGGCGATGCAATATACAGATATGAAAGGAAAAAATGGAATTGAATACTCAATTTTTATTCTATGTTAGTTATTTCATTATCTATGTTTGGCACATGTATATAACCTATTCCCTCAAAATAGCTAGTATTATAGCTTGAATTTTTTAAAATGCAGCCTGAATTTTAAGTGCATTAGATTTTTCTCACTGCCCAAGACAGCTGCAAAGGGTATAAAAATTAGAAGCTCCAGTCTAGTGGAAGAGATAATTTAACAAATGATCTTTGTGCCGCTGCTTCCTCCTTTTCCCCATCTGTGTCTTTTTACCCCTTCTCAATTCCTATTCCTTTAAGAAAACGTAAGGTGAGTAAGCCTTACATTGGATTATTTAGTTGCACTGATACATTTCCTTTTTATTGAACAGTTATTACTTATGAGTTATTCAACACTGACCGGGAGGTTGAGGAATGCAAAAATAAAACAGATATGAGATTGTGCACACAAAGAACTTATAGACCAAGGCAGAAGATGAATGACATTCACATGCACAACTGATGATCAGCTAGTGAACGCTGGTGTAGCTGTACCTTTTGTTAAAATACTGAAGTACTCTATATCCAGTGCTAAATAAATGCTTCTCTGAGGCCCCACACGACTCCCACCATGTCCTCCCTCTCACCCCACCAGTTTCTGGGGAGGCTGGGATCTCCCCAGACTACTCCATAATCTAGCAACTAAAGGGCTGACAGCTGGCTCAGGGGGAGCTTCCAGGAACCCAGCCTAAGGGTAAGTTGGCACCTTTTCTGATTGGTCTCTACCTGTGCCAGGTTGGGCTATTAAATTTTGAGTTTTTTCATATCAGTTTGATATTTTTATTTAAAAAATCATCTTTATCACAAGTATAAATAATCATTCATTAGAAAGTGATGCAATGCCAAAGGCAAGATATTGATTATGTGCAAAGGAAGTATGGAAAAGGTGGGATTATAGCCAGTGAGACGCATGAGAGAACTCTTGAGAAAATGACTCCTGAGATTTGAAGGCCCTTAGGATTTAGATGGGTTGAGAGGGGTAGAAGTCCATCACCAGTACACCAAACAGCACTCATTCATTCTCCTGCCCATTCATTGAGCAACATTTCTTGAGTGTCCATCATTGAGAGGCAGTGCAATGTAGTTAAGAGCTCAAGGTTTGGAAAAAGCCAGTCTGAAGTGAATGTTAGTTCTGCCACTTAATTCCTGTGTCTTGGCATGTAACCTACCACTTAGGGTTTCTTTATATTTGCAGTAATATTAGAACCTACCTCAGGGTTGTTTGAGAATTAAATGAGTTAATAATCCAAGGCAGCAGTTTTTAAATGTTAGCTTGCGTCAGAGTCACCTGGAGGGCCTGGTAAAACACACATTGCCAGGTTCCACCCCCAAATTTCTGGTGTGAGAATTTTCATTTCAGACAAGTTCCAAGTGATGCTGAGACTGCTGGCCTAGGGATCACACTTCCTAAGGCATCACTTTCACCACTGTTCACCAAGTTCAAGCCGCACAAGGATTCTAGAACATGCTGAGTGCCTTTTACTGTTGTACATATTGTTACTTTTGCCTGCAAAAGTTTCTTCCCTACCCCACACTTTTTATCTGGCTAATTGCAATTTATCCTTCATGTCCCAGCCTAAATATTTACTTCCTCTGAGAGGCTTTCCTTGACAAGCCCCCGCCCCCTGCCACCCTTCTCCCAGCTGAGATTGTCCATCTGTGTGATGTTCACAACCCAACTGCTTCATAGCAATTAACACACTTGTGATGATGTTCCTATCTGTGTGTGTTTTTCTTTGTCCTCTTCTTCTGGTCTGCATGTTCCCTGAGATAAGGGGCCATTTCTACTTTTGAATGAATGAATGAGCTATAAATTAAATAATGTAAGTTAAGAGTTTCACTGGGTAGTCTTAAAATCAATTGTATGCAGTAACCAAAATGGCCACACAGCGTCACTAAAGTTTTAGTCCTTTGGGTGAAATAGGTGAATAATTTGATTCAAAGTTGTGGTCCTGAAAATCTTCTCATCTGTATCATAGTGTTTAAAAGTTTGTGATAGACTTGATTCTGTCTCTGTGTATCTATGTATTCTGTTATTCTTTCAAACAGAGAGAATCTGATCTATAATGTATATGTAGGGAGGGCAGGGGTTTTGTAGAACTCGTATCAGACTTCAGATTTTTTACTCTAGTAGATTCCTTTCAAAGGGCAAAATGTTTTAGAGATGCTTATGGCATATTTAACTCTTATAATGAATTATTTTGTGTATCTTCTGACTCCCAAACTAGAATGTAACTTATAGAGAGTAAGTATAGTTTTTTTTTTTTTTTCATCTTTCCCCTCCCCAGCAGAATCTTGGGTATATAATAGACACTCACTTGGATGAATGGATAATTAGTATCCATTTCTCTGACCTTCTGAATATTTTTTCTACCCAAATTTTTGGAACCTCTCTGAAGTCATAGTTTAACTAGACTTTATTGAAAAAAACAATAACACAGGTGCAAGTGTGTAGTAACGATAGTTTTCTTTTCTCTTAAAGCTACACATGGCAGTACTTACAGTAAGTACACATTTAAAGACCAAGCCTCTGTCTCTGCTTCATTGTCTTTTGGCAAGTGAAAGCGTAAACAGTATACTCTCTCCCATCCTTCCTGAATTTCATTGTCTGTCCTATGACATTTTGGAATTAAAAAAACAAACAAACCTCTATCAAAACTTTTACTAAAATGTCACAGTCTATATATTTCTTTGGCATATTACAATAACTGAGGAAATACATAGAATATACTATCTGTTCCATCTACTGGCTATCAGGATTTTATTTTCTGAGTTACTTTACAGACTCAAAGTTCCTTGTTTTTGAAGTTTTGCAGACTTTTTTGAAGTTTAAAAAGTATGCTGGGTATAGCATGGTATATGTCATTAAGAACAGAGAGAAAATGGGGTGATACTACTGAGAGTCTTAGATATATAAATTATTTTAAAACTTTAAAACCATAACCAATTATTTAAAATTTATTTGTAGCTCAGTTACAGTAATTATAAATACCTGGCTATCAGTTTCCTTATAGTCAGTGTTCATGGAATACTCTAAAGACTCTCTATGTTCACAAAATTAGAGCTTATCCCACCTCTAGCTTGAAATATATATATCTCAAGGTATATATAATCTATGCATATATGTATTTCAGTACTCAATTAATGTAGCATTAAATTGAACTCTTCACATAGCAAATGTATTCTGTGAGGAGTAATCTAGTTTCAGAAATTAAATGCTGTTTATTTTTCTTTAAATAGCTTTACACAAATCCTAAGGAGCCTGAGGTAAGAACACATAGAGAGATGGGCAGTGTATGTATATTTAAATATGTTTACCTGAGTTGAAGCCATAGATTATGTCACTAGACTACCAAATGAGTAAAGTAACTCATAGTGAGCTCTTTCTGTGTGTTTTATTATAAATGTCACCAAGTCTTTATTATGAGATTTTAAAAAACTACCTAGCAGTACTGGGAAAAAAACATTGAGTGGAACTGAAGCCTATTTCCTAACATCTTAACAGTGAGAATCTGATTTATGAAGACAGCATTTCCTTTTCATTTTGACTGATGCTAAATCCTTTCTATTTGTGGTCTTTGGGGCATAAAAACGCTAAACTTTTTTTTTTTTGATGGCTAACTAAATTTTCCCCCTTCTGACCTTCTCATAGATTTCCAAGCTTTACCTTTTTCCTTCTCTCTGTAAATTTCTTCCCTCTGCTTATTGAATCCTCCTCATCCTCAGCACCAACTTGTGTTTGAAACTTCCATGAGAGCCTCTTGGACTATTTTGTTCACCCTAAATTCTTCCTTCTCTGAATTCCCTTTTCTAGCGGGACCTCACAGTTCAACACTCTTGGCTCCTCTGGACTACTTTACCCTCCCAGCCAGACTGTGAATTCTGCAGGACAGGGTCTCGTCTCCTTCTCAGCCCCAGCGTGGCTGTCATCGCACTGGGTGCACGGTGGCTACCTGTGCTGCTCTGCACAGCTGCCGAGGTCGCGGCACAGGGATGGAGGGAGATGCCCTTCTTGCTGTCTTCTCGTCCTGACCTCTGCTTTCCTCCCAGCTTTCTTTCCTCTTCCCCTTTCCTTGCTTTCAGTTGCTTTCCCTAAGCCTATGAATTTAGCCTGAGTGGTGACCTTCACAACCAAGCTGGGCATTTTTTTAGCCTTTACTATCTACTCTCTGGCAAGATTATAAATAGCTGTTTGAGCAAGGCCGAAGAAAGCTGGTGCATGCAGGTGGGTAACAGTGGGCAACAATTCCTCAGTGCCCAAGCTGCCTCTGTTTATCTCTAGTTTAGTTTTCAGGTTTGGTTTTTTTCCCAGTACATTTGAAGAGAAGTTTCCCAAAGTAAGATCTCCAATAAATTTTTAATAAATCTGTCATTTCCTTCATGCAGTAAATTACTATGTTTTCTTCTGTATGTGAAACTCCTAGTCTGAAATTTTTTGAGGCTTTTTGAGGTAGTGCGATGCTTACGAAATTGGGCTTATCTACGGAAAAATATTACAGAGTGGGAAGAAAACTGTTAAATGAAATTTGATGTAGGCAATATATATAATAAAGTTAGAAAGCAAAATCAGCTTATTATAAGTTCTGAGCCATCATTTATGACTCAGAAAAAATTTTCTGAACTCTTACATATTGTTTCCTGTAGCAATGATCCCTAACCTATGTGTTCATGGAACACTTTTAATTACTAGCTAATTTGGTGGCATGTTTAAGAGTATTAAAAGACTTGAAAAGACTCCACACATCTCAGCAATAATTATGGTGTAATTATGTGCCATACTTATGGCACAGCACTGCTCATAGCCTGAGAGTATCCATGGGTTACACTGTTTCATGATTGCTCTTTAGCATCAAGTCACTGAGAGAACTATTTACCTCTTTGATCTCACTCTTTTATATACTCTCAAAACAACATTGTCACGTAAACAGTCTTATCTAATATGGTACCATGTTTCTTAACTCATATTGGTAGAAGCATAGCCTCCCCTAAGCAAAATTGTACAAACAATAACAACATTAATATTTACCTGAAGCAAAAAAGCATGTTACATACACATGGACTAAAATTTGCAGCGCTCTTGTGAAGACTCTGTCATGGTACACCAGTTAAGAACCTCTGGCTTAAACAAGTGTGCTTATTCTGTCCAGAGACCAGCAGAGTTTGGGGCATTGCACAAGGCTGTGGTGCTTCTGCACCTGAGGTTTTGTTCTGGTTGCTCCATCTCAAGAAAGATGAACCGACAGAAGTAACTAAAGCAGTGAAGAGGGACAGTGTAGCTTTTCTGCAGATGCATGCTACAGAATGGGTGGAGGGTATTAATAAGATGTGTAACCTAACACATGATAGACCCATAAATAATTACTATATTTGAATAAAAGATGCTTGTTCCTTGGAAGAAAAGCTGTGACAAACCTAGACAGAGTATAAAAAGCAGAGACATCACTTTATCAACAAAGGTCCGTATGGTCAAAGCTATGGTTTTTCCAGTAGTCATGTATGGATGTGAGAGTTGGACCATAAAGAAGATTGAGCACCAAAGAACTAATGCTTTAGATTGTGGTGTTGGAGAAGGCTCTTGAGAGTCCCTTGGACTGCATGGAGATCCAACCAGTCAATCTTAAAGGAAATCAACCCTGAATGTTCATTAGAAGGACTGATGCTGAAGCTGAAACTCCAATACTCTGGCCACCTGATGTGAAGAGCCGGCTCGTTGAAACAGACCCTGATGCTGGGAAAGATTGAGGGCAGGGGGAGAAGGGGGTGACAGAGGACGAGATGGTTGGATGGCATCACCACCTCAGTGGACATAAGTCTGAGCAAACTCCAGGAGATGGTGAAGGATAGGAAAGCATAGTGTGCTGCAGTCCATAGAGTTGCAAAGAGCCGGACACGACTGACACAACACCACAAATCTTACCATCTCGCCATCTGGTTTTCTTTGTGACTATTTGAGGTGGTCAACACCACTTTCAATAGATCATTTCAGGAACTGAACTAGAGATGGTCCCTGTTTCTAGCCATAATATACTTTTGGAGACTTTTTTTAAAATTCTGTAAGATGAAATCCAATTGAATGTGAACTCTATTCTGGCTGAATATTTATTCATTCAGCAAGTATTAATTAGGTTCCACTTATGTGTCTGACACACAGGAATTAATGGGATCGACAAGGTCCCTGCTGTCTGGAAGCTTACATTAAGCTTATGAAAGACGATAAACAATAAACAAGTAAACAAAAGTTAGCAAGTTTCAGATACATGATAAAGCTATGAAAATAAAAGGAGGTGGTATGCTGGAGAGTGCCAAGTGGGAATGGAGGAAGAAAAATTGGAGGGCTGTGCCTGGAAGGTCTCCCTGAGGGGCCACTGTTTGAGCGGAGACTGAGTGGCCAGAAGCGCCGCCCTGTGCAGGCCTGTGAAAGGCAACAGCATGGGACTGGCATAACAATACAGGAGTTAACACTGCGGATGTCAGAGTCAGAGCCCCGCCGTGCCGCTCACTAGCTTCATCTGTAATGGTGTAGTACCTGCTCCCAGTCTGGCTACGTAAGAATGAACAGATGTAGAGCATTTAGGGAAGTGCCCAAATATGATTACTATCATCAACTGGAGACAACATACCCCAGAGGGCAGTTATCTGAAGGCAGGAAGGCATCTTGTATGTTCATGGACAGAGAGGCTGCCCTGGGCCTGGAGCTGAGTGGGGTGGAAGGAAGAGGCAAGAGAGAAGGTCAGAGAGCAGAGAGGTCGGCAGGGCACAGATGAGTCAGGCCAGGGGACCAAGGTAAACCGGATTTTATCCTGAGGGCAGTGGGAAATCATTAACAAAGGAGCAACAAGGTCTGATTTGCATTTTCCAAACTTTTTTTGGCCATAGAACAGAGAATGAATTTGGAGGAGGAGGAATAGTTTGGATGCAAGCAGATCAGATGGAAAGAGCTGGTCTTGGCTTGGACGGGGTGAAGAGAACCAGATGGCCTGGGGATGGGCTTTGGAGACAGGCCTGAAACGTCTTGCCAGTGGGTTTGAACATGGAGGGAGAATGAAAGGCTGTATATGTTGCCGTTGCTCTGGTCCATGTGGATACATTCAGTATGATTAATAGAAACCATTGGTGAACAGCTTAACGGCTCATCTTTATTAGGCAACACATTAATCTGAAAAGCAGGAGAATGTTTTATGAGGTGTTAAGAAGAGACCAGTGCCTGCTGTAAATACACCTTCTTTGATCAATCAGACACAGATTGAAGTTATTAAGGATGAGCATCTTCTGTAAAACAATTGGGCTTCCCTGGTGGCTCAGATGAGAAAGAGTCTGCCTGTGATGCAGGAGACCTAGGTTCAATCCCTGGGTCAGGAAGATCCCCTGGAGAAGGGAATGGCTGCCCACTCCAGTACTCATGCCTGGAGAATCCCATGGAGCTAGAGGAGCCTGGCAGGCTGCAGTCCCTGGAGTCACGAAGAATCAGACACAACACACACAGTGTAAACACTTACAAACACGACTCTTATCAGTCGCCCTACAGACCAAATAAGAAAGTCAATTTTTTATCAACCACTACAAGATCTACTCTTGATACAATTAAAATAAAAGATAGCTTGGAACATCAAAAAGCTAGAGCTGGTTGGGAAACATGGGCGGGCAGGAAGAACAGGCATTGTTTACCTGACAGTTACAGGATGAAGCAGTTACACCCTCATCCATGAAGAAGGGTGTTGTGTATCTAGCCTGTCTGGAGGAAGCCTGTTGCTGTAGGTGCCTCCAGTCTCATACATCTCTCCTATTGGACTCACAAAGCAGCCTTCAGATTTTGGTTTGATTTCTCACGTAGATTGTTCTGCTAGAAAATTTTTTTTCTCTTAAAATTAACTCCATTACAAACCAGTCTTTTAAGAATGTAAGCAGCATGAGCAAGTATCCCCAGGACCGGCTCACTGTGATTAATGGGACACCAAATCTCAGATAGACACAGGTAACAAGAACGTTGTGATTTTTTCCTCATCAATCTAACATTCCCATGCCCACGCTCTCAAGGAACAAAACACTGAAATGATGAAGGAAGAGTATGTCTTGTGTTCTGACTTAAGCTCACACCCTTTGCCTGTCTGTCTTCAGCACCTTCTCCGGCTCTGTGGACAGATTACTGTTGACTCTTTAACAACAGAGGGGTTGGGGTGTTGACCCCATGCAGTGGAAGGTCATGTATAATTTATGGTAGGTCCTCCGTGTACACAGTTCCTCTGTATCCTTGGTTCTGCATCCTCTGGATTCAACAATCACGTATCACATACAGCTATAGTATTTACTATTAGGAAAAAAAAATCCATGTTTAAGTGGGCCTGCATGGTTCAAACCTGTGTTGTTCAAGAGTCAACTGTATGTATATCTGGGTCAATTGTTAGCTTCAACTGCTAGGCGATCATTTTATTTTAAATGGACTACATCTCTTATGAGGAAATCTGTCCCTCTCTATTTCTAGCTTATTTATTTATGTTTGTCTCTATTTATAGCTAGCAGATAGCAGTGGTTTCTAGTTTTTAGTGCAAGATCACGAAAGTAAAAAAAAAAAGATCTGATACCACAGACTCTGGTTCTTTTTCGAATTTTTTCTAGTTTACCTGCTGCCATTGTAGTCTTCCCTGAGTTACTACCATCTTAATTACTCTCATGGTTCCCACTTCTCTGAACTCTTAAAATAGCCAAGGTGATCTTTAAAAAATGCAAATCACTCCCATGCTTAATACCACTCACCATTCACTTCCTGTTTACTTGGAATGAAGTCCAAGCCTCTTAGTTACAAGGCCCCACAACTTCCTCTACAACCCCACGTCCTACACTCTCCCCTTTGCTCACTCATCAGCCACTTGGCCTCCTCTGTAATCCTGTAGGAGGCTTCCTTTCCTCCTTTAGAGCGTCAGCCTTGCTGTTTCTTCTGCCTGGGGTGCCCCACCTTCCCCCACGTCTGCGCAGGACTGCCCCTCGTCAAGGAGGCTCAGCTCAAACATCACCTCATTAGCGAGGGCTTCCTTGGCCCTTCCCAACCCAATCAGCACCTCTCCCTTCCGTCCTCTGTCACAGGCTGTGCTTCATATTGTCCACAGCGGTTATTACCACCTGAGATTATGCTATTTGCTTACTTATTTACTGGCCATTCTCCCACCAGTCTGTATACTCCGGAAAAACAGGGACTTTTTCTGTCATGTTCACCCCAGTGACTCCAATGCTTGACCCAAAGTAGACATTCAATAAATATCCGTTCCATGAATGAATAGGTTTCTTAGCTGGTTCCACTGTTACTGACCAAAGCCAGGTCAGACACTTAACTCTGGGCTTTAGTTTCTCCAGCTTTAAAGCAGTAACAATAGACTATGCCATCTAACTCATTCTTGGCTTGGAGGAGAAAAATTGTTATCTTTTTATCTGGAGATATCACTCCTGAATAATGTCATGCTATAAAACAAACAGGTATGTAGGAGGTATAGAAGGCATACAGTGAAGGTGTATACTGTTACTAGATAAGAAAACACCTGTAATACCTGATAAGTAACACCTGTTACTAGATAAGAAAATCCAGAGATTTTCTGAAAGTGATTTCTTTCTTTCTCCCCTTTGATATTTCTAGAAAGTGACTGAGATATACCAGTTCAAATTCAAATACACAAAAGAAGGAGCCACTATGGATTTTGACAGGTAGAATCTAATTGTTTAATGAACATAAGAAATACATAGGATTGAGGTAAACATATGCCTCTTGAGGCCAGTTATAGGCCTTATACTTCCTTGTAACTTCCCCAATAGTCTTACAAAAAACCTGCTATTATAAAAAGGGAATGTAATGTAATGTTTAAATTTCTGAAATCCATGAATGAAGGTGGTGGGAGAAGAGGCTTCCTTTGCTTCTTTCCCTCTTCTCCTTGTAGGTGATATCAGTAGGTCTAAAGGCAGTTAAGTTTAGTGGTTGAGAGCCCTAATTCTTAAGGCAGAAAGATCTAGCGTGGATCCCCAGCTCTGACTATTTCTGGTCATATAATTTTGGACAGAATATTCAGCCTCCCCAGATGTTAGCATTCTCATCCGCACAGTGGAATTAATAATATCTACTTCATGTGGTTGCTGTGATTGCTAAATCATAATGCATAGGTAAAGCTCTGCCCACCCCTGGCAGGTAAGAAGCACACAGTAAATGGTGCCTAGTGGTCACGGTGGTGGCGGTGGTGGTCTTTATGGTGGCTGGTGGGTGGCACAGCAGTAGAAATCACACTGGTGGGGCTGTGTACGAGGCGTTGATTGAAGAACTCTACAAGGCTTTGCGTGACCACTAACCCGAAGCTTCTGAGGTGCCATGCCAGATAGCAGTCCTTTCTCCCTCAGTTCTGCCAGATGGGGACTGGGGTAGGTGGAGCCCCTGCTCTATTTACCTACAGACACAAGTATTCTCACCTGCTTACCCCCGTATGGCATACGAATATAACCACCGCTATTGTGTCCTTGTATGAAAGAAACTGGGAAGCACTTCATTTTCCTGTCAAGTCTAAAAGCTTAAGTCTTAGATATACTAATGGGTCAAATAGCAAGGACAGGGACCGTTGCTTCACAAGGTCCTCGGCACGTCTGGAGATGTTTACTCCCCTCCCAGCTTTTGCATTCAGATAGAGCTGAGTATTCCTAATGAGATGGAATAGAAATGGGGCGGGTGGAGGATGGAGAAAAGTCCTGGGTGGCAGAGAGCTCCACCTCAGAGGCATGAGTCTCTCTGAAAGGAATGGCTCTGAAGAGAAATGTGGCCTCATTCTCAATTTTCCATACGATGAGCTATGTCTCATCATTTACTACAAGTTTTACAATTTCTCTCCAAGATTCATACCCTTATAATCCTCTCCCTTGTAAAGTTTCCAGACAGCACTAGGATGTGAAGAGGAAGTAAGTTCTAGGAATAAGAATTAAGGTACTAAACATCATTAGCTAACATCTGTATAATACTTCACAGAGTATTCAGAGCTTTTCATTATATTCTCTTACATAGAACAGCTGCCTTTTGCTCTCTAAAATTCAAATCTAAGTACCACTGACAACCAGATTAATCTCTTTTGTCGTGAAGGCGCATATATCTAGAGGTGAGCAGTATAACAGAAATGGCCAAATCGTTCTGCTACTCAGGGGAAGAGAAGGTAATGAATGCATACTAGACCAAGCTGGGCCTTTGTTCAGGTGACTGTTTATACAAAATTACCTTATCACCTCTTACATATTATAGATGATTTTCCTTTTAAAAAACAGTACAAGGAAGTCTTGAATATGATTTTACGTGAAACGATTCCATGACAATGATGTATACTGAAAGGTCCCATGCCTTCATGATTATACCCTTCCCTCTGGTTACTTATTTCAAAATGGCTGGATGCTGGCAGACAAAACTTTAAGTTATTCGAAACTGAAAAAGGAGCAAATGTGTTTACTTAATAATGTTTGTTTTATGAATTCACACTACCTCTAGTAGTTCAGTTACTAAGGATTATTTTTCAGTATTGCGTACTTACTACGTGAAAGGCATTGTACAAATATATTGCAGTCACAGCCCTTCCTGGAAACTACTCAAATGTGAGACTAATCGGGGGAAAATTTTTGGAGAGAAATAAAAAATGTTTAGAGTTGGAAGATAATTTAGCCCAATTTGTTCATTCACTCATTAATACAACAAATGTTTATTGAGTACTTACTGGTGTCGGGCACCAAACTTAGCACTGTGGAGATGAAAAATACAGCCATTCAGTCTAGAGGGGACATATAGTTATACATAGGGGTGAGGCATAGGGATGACCAGAGAAGACTTCCCTGAGGAGATGACACATGAGTGTCAGGAAGACAAGTGGGAAAAGCTCAGTATAAGCGGAGTGAACAGCATACACAAGTGCATAGGAGTGAGAAGGAATCAGTTACAGATGGCTAGTTACAGATGAAGGTGGAGGTGAGGGTGCGGCTGGTGAAAGGCCATTGTACACACACTGTTCTCGAATTTCATTGAAAAATAATGGATACAACATAAGAAACTTAAGAGAGCGACATGAGTGGATTTTCCCATTAGGAATATATATTAGGAGTGGTGTGGAGAATGTTTTGCAGTGTGAACAAGAAGGAAAACAGGAAGAATAGTCAGTCATGGTGATAATCCATGCAAGAGTGAGAAGGGGATGCCTCTGAGAGATACCCAGATGGTACAAAGGCCAGAGATGATGACTGATTTAATTTGGAGAGGTATAGAAACATGTGTAAGCTTATCTCACAAAGGAGCTAACTGACCTAGTGTGTCTAAGTGACTTGACCTGAGTCATTCAGCTAGTTAGCAACAGAGCCAATATTAAATGTCAAGTCCATTGTTCTCAGTATTAAATTATGCGGTCATTTATAAATCAAATTTAAAAAAATCAGGTCACATTTAAAATGCCCTAAGGGAACTTGCTACTTAAGAACCCCTTTGTATATACATTGCAAAAAGTACAATAACTCCTTTAATTTACATTCTAAAATAGTTTCAAGAGTGTCCTGCATTTAGTTTATATTTATCTGCTCATACAGTAAAAATTTTTGTTCTTTTTGAAATAGATTTTCAATATTATATGTGATTGAAAAGTGTGCTGTTTTCTTATGTGATTATAGCAGTAACATGAGCTTCGAAAGTGTGACAAACAGTGAAGATATTAAGAAAGCCAGTGTTCTGATGATCCGTAAACTGTACATACTGATGCAGAACCTTGGACCCCTTCCTAACGATGTTATACTGACTATGACACTCCACTACTACAATGCAGGTAGGTGGAGACCTGTAGTCAAATCCCCTCTTTAGTGCTGAAGTAGTATTTTGGATAAACAGAAGGATTTTGGCAAGCCTTTGAAAGAGATGGCTGTTGTTACACATGAAAGACTGGTCTGAGTTGTTCTCCTGAAACTCAGAGTTTTCTTGGTTTTCTGCCCTTTCCATTTTGCAGTGACCCCAAATGATTACCAGCCCCCTGGTTTTAAAGAAGGAGTAAACTCACACTTCCTGCTGTTTGAAGGGGAGCCTGTAAACCTGCAAGTGGGAATGGTCTCCACTGGCTTTCATAGCATGAAAGTAAAAGTCACAACCGAAGCCGCCAGAGTGTCTGATCTGGAGAACAATCCCTTCCAGGAGAGCGACACGACCGAGATAGCCCATCAGGGCCTCGACTGCGATGAGGAGGAGGAGGAGTGCAGCAGTGACGTAAGGCAAAGCCACAGTGCCCCCTCCTTTCGGTTAAACCCCGCTGACGTGTTTCAGCTCCCGCACCACTCATCACAGTATGACCGTCCAGTGGAGTGTGCTGGGTATAAAAACGAAATCAAAACTAGCCCCTGACCTCGAGTCTTTATTCTAAAAAAGCACTGTCTTCAAGAAGGAAATATACTTTGTTAAATGAAATTGTCCATGTCTAGGAGGAAAAAATAGACTTTCTGTTGGGTTGGCCAAAGATTTTGTTTGCGTTTTTCCATAGCACCTTATGCAAAACCCAGACGAACTTTCTGGCCAACCCAATAATATACTTCTTTTTACAAAAGGTACCCATGAATTTAGGAAATTTGGGATTTTCTTTAACTTAAAAGAGCATATTAAACATTTTAAAATATTCTGTTTATTCATACTCACTGGAAGTATAATTAAGTCCTTGATGACCAGGGTAGAAGTGTTACGGACAACCCTTAAGTTAGAGTGCATTCATCTTTCACTGTTGTAGAATATTCTACTCTTGATAGACATTCTTTCTCTTTGTAATTGTCATAAACATTCATGTATACACCTTCTTGTACACATATGCAAGAGTGTCTCTGAGGACTATTCCAAAGAGTCCTAGGGCTTGCACATTTTCAACTTTCTTAGGTAGTGAAAAACTGCTTTCCAAAATGGTTGTACCAGTTTGTGCTCCAGCACCAGTGGAGGGGGTGGTGCTCACCATCCTTGACAATGCTTAGTATTACCCACATTTATGGTTTCTGCCTAACCACTGGATGTAAATGGTAATGCCTCATGATTTGATTTTGATTTGCATTTCCCTGATTATTAATGAGCTTAAGCATCTTTTCATGTGTATTGGCTATTCTGGTTTTTTATGTATATACAGTAACTATTCAAGTCTTTTATGCATTTTTCTATTGGGTTATTTATCTTTGCCTCATTGATTTAAAAAAATATATCCTAAATAATAACTTGTTTCCATTATTTATGTTACAGTATTTTTTTTTTTTTAGGTTTGTGGCTTGTCTCTTCACTTTCTTTAAGATGCTTTTTGCTAAAGAGAAGTTCTTAATTTTAATGTAGTCAAACTTTTCCTCTAACATGTGCTTTTGGATATTCTTAAGAAATCCTTCCTTATCTGAGGTCATTTATGATACTTTCCTTTATTTTGTTATAAAAGTTTAAGGTTTTACCTTTTACAGTTAAATTTTTATTCCACTTGGAGTTAATTTTTATTTGTGGGGTAAGGTAGACCAGACTCCTTTTACATTTTAAAATCCAAGTATAATACACATACAGAAAACAACATACATCATAATATATATCTTTCACACATGCTCAGTCATGTCTGACTCTTTGCAACCCCATGGACTGTAGCCCACCAGGCTCCTCTGTCCATGGGGTTCTCCAGGCAAAAATACTGGAGTGGGTTGCCATGCCCTCCTCCAGGGGATCTTCCCGACCCAGGGATCGAACCTGCATTTCTTTATGTCTCCTGCATTGGCAGACACATTCTTTACCACTAGTGCCACCAGGGAAGCCCATACATCATAATGATACAGCTCAAAAAATATTCACAAACTGAACCCAAGGACTGGGATGGAAGGTAAGAGAAAGTGCCTCCTTCAGTACTGCTCCCTAGATATCTTGCTTGCCTCACCCTATTCCAGCCCTACTGAATACACATGTGAAATCAGCACCCAGATCAAGAAACACAATAGTACCAGTGCTCTGAGAAAACTCAGTCCGGCTTTACAGTCACTGTTCTATTCAACAGCAATATCTCTATCCTGGCTTCTATTATAATAGATTAGTTTCTCTTGTGTTTTTATTTTATAGATGTGGAATCATGGAGTGTGAAACATTTTTTCACTTCTTCACATATTCTGTTTTTTAGTAAACATGTTTTACATGACATGTTTTTAGAAGACGTTTTTTAGTAAAATATACACATTTCTGGTAGGAGGTTTGCTAGGAGTAGAATTGCTGGGTCACAGGATATGAGTACATTTAGCTTTAATAGATACTACAAGACAGCTTCCAACGTGCTCGTGTCAACTTACACTCCCATCAGCAGGGTTGGCTGCTCCACATCCTCACCAACCACTGGCATTTTCCATCTTTTTAATTTTAGCCGTTCTGGTGGGTGTGTAGTGGTATGTCACTGTGGTTTTAATTTGCAGTTTCCTGATGACTAAGGAAGATGAGCACCTTTTCATATGTTTCTTGGCCATGTTGGATGTCCTCTTTTGTGAAAATTTTCTTAAGTCTTTTGTCATTTTTCTATTGGGTTCTGTTGGGTTTGTCTTTCATTCTTATGAATTTGTAGGAGTTCTGAATATATATTCTACATAAGTCCTTTGTCAGATACATGTATTGTGAATCTCTCTTCAACTTTATGAGTTGCCTTTTTACTCTGTTAATGGTGTGTTGTGATGAATAGTATATTAATTTTAGCTTAGTTCAACTTATCAGTCCTTTCAGCTATCTTTGGCAGTTTTTATTGAAAAAATTTTTTCCACTCTAAAGTTTACAGAGATGTACTCTATATTTTCCCTCTAACAAGGAGAAATAGCTACAGAAACAGAGGTGAATTTTAAAATTACAGGATACCTCCATGAATAACATCACACCAAAAATATAAATAACTGACCTTTCTCTCCTCTGTCTTCAAGTATTCGTATTTTGGTATGATATTATTCATGGAGGTCTAATAATTTTAAAAATCACTTCTGCTTTTGTAGCTATTTCCCTATTTTTATATCTGGTATTTATTTGTGCCCCATTTGTTTTTCTTGGGTTATACTGGCCCAAGTCAATAATTTTTTACTTCTCTCTTCAAAGTCATCTTTTGGTTGTGCTGATCTCCTCTATGGCTTTGTTTTTCTATTTTGCTCATGTTTTGCTTTCACCTTTGTCTTCTTCTATTTCTCTTGTTTGGTTTTGTCTCCCTATTCCAAACTGACCTCTCCATCAATACGTATACAAGTACCTCAAATTCAGCATTAAATGGAATTTCAACTTCTAACCAAACATGCTCTTCCTCCTTCCAGGTTCCTTCTCTTTGTATTGCATTAAATCTTTACCAAACAGCCTGATCAGGAATGTGTTCAGCTCCTATTTTCTTCTCACTTCTCACATCCTTTTGGTTACCATTTCTGTTTTGTATCTGAAATACTTCAGACCATAATTTGGTCATGGATCAGAAATGATGAAAAGAGACAAACTTGAAATTTAAACATTCTTAGATGATAAGAACTCTTAAAACCAAACTCCACTTGAAAAACAGGACACAGAACTCAAGAGACCAAGGAATTCCAGGACAAAACAGGTTTATGTAGCACTGTCTGAAAAATCCTATCCTAAATGTGTCCTTATCATTTCATCTACTTTGGCCACATCTTCAGGACAGGTCTTTCTTCCTTGTAGGGTGTTTTCAGCTTTAGGGCTTAGGTAGTAAGGAACACACCACAGTGATACCTCACAGTACTCTGTGAAGTGGGGCCTGTTTTCTCTGTTGCGGTCAGCTGGATGGATAGCAACAGTCATGTATCCTAGAGAGAGACTCTTGGACAAGCTTCTTCTTTAAGAACTCATATATATGGTGACAATAACCTACGGATATAGAATTTTTTTTAAATGTTATGCTAAGTTTAAATCCTGAGGGAAAATTACTTCTTTCTAGTACAGGTTGTTAACCCAGGCTTCTTAAATGACTCTAGTAATTATTAACACACCCAGACAGCTATAAAAAGACCAGCTAATGTACCATGTCGTAGAGATTGATGTTCTTAGTTTATTAAGCCATTAAAGCTTTTGGGGGGCTTCCCTGGTGACTCAGATGATAAAGAATCTGCCTGCAATGCTGGAGACCTGGTTCAATTCCTAGGAAGGGAATGACAACTCACTCCAGTATTCTTGGTGTGGAGAATCCCATGGACAAAGGAGCCTGGCGGTCTACAGTCCATGGGGTCGAAAAGAGTCAGACGTGACTGAGTGACTAACACTGGTGGCTCAGTGGTAAAGAATCCACCTGCCAATGCAGGATACACAGGCTCCATTCCTGATCTGGGAAGATTCCACATGCTGTGGAGCAACTAAGCCTGCGTGCCGCAACTACTGAACCTGTGCCCTAGAGCCCAGGAGATACAACTTCTGAGCCTGCATGCCGCAACTACTGAAGCCCACTCTGGAACCTGTGCTCTGCAACAAGAGAGGTCACTGCAATGAGAAGTCTGTGCACCGCAACTAGAGAGCAGCCCCCACTCGCCTCAACTTGAGAAAAGCCCCAGCAGCAATGAAGTCCCAGCACAGCCAAAAATAAATAATTTTAAAAAGAAAGCTTTTTGGGAATTTGTATTTTTATCAGTTTTTAAGTGGGGATCCACAGGTGGTAATTTTCTAATTTTGTGAGCTCTCTATGAGTCTTTGTACCCTTAGAAAGGGTTGCTTTTTCTTCTTGATGAATTCCACAAAAGAATACATATAGCAATATATGGCTTACCTGAATGCATTTTTTTCCCTGTGTGAAGGCCATTTCTTACCTTTTGTGCTAACATTGGATTTAAGTATAAATGATTTGTTTTTGAGAAATTAGAGTGTAAAGTATATTAGTGCCGAAGTAAATGGTACCATTTAAGTGTGGACTAGAAAGATATTTTCTGAAATTCCTTAGAATTGCTATGTATTCTAGTCAGTGGATTAAAACAAGAGCCTTTTCACTCAAAACCCTATTTTCTCCCACTAAACTCTGAAGTTTTGAATTTTTGAGGTATAGGCTGGTGATTTTCATATCATTACATCTCATGAAGCATATATGCCTTGTCTAATACAATGTAGTGTTGGCAAGACTATCTTAGATTCTTGGAAATGGAGTTGATTATTGAAAACGTTGGAGGAGGCTCATTATCTACAGAAAATATTCAGACTTCAAAACCACACATCATTCTCTTTATCACAGGGCTATAGTCCTTTTCACAAAGTTTCTTTTT